TTCAGTACGATCAAGTGCTTGCTGGCCCACTTTCTGGATTTACTTATCTGAAATAGCCTTGCAGCTATAATCATTAGGCTATTTTCTGCTATTGAAACAGTATTGGTACTGTTGTGGTTTTGCCATTATGTACTGTGTCAACAGGTAGTCAAGCCACCACTGAGAAATAGTATTGCCAAAGACAAAAGCTACCAGGCATTCCAGATCAAAGCCAAGCGTGACTCACCAAACTTCAGACCTCCACTGTATTGCCTGCATAAATCCAAGGCCTATTTATGCATAAAAAGCAGTTTTTTCCAAAGCTATTCAAATGCCAGAAATAAGAGATTATTATGACATCATGTCATGTTGAAAGACAGGTGGAGGAGAACACAATGTTTGTGTTGGATTCAAATGTCTGCTGAAATCATTCCTGTCATTGCTAATTGATGTTGCATCTGTCTTTAGATTGTGACTATTGAAAAAAAAAAAAAAAAGCTGAAGATCTTATTCAGAGAAATAATTACAGTTGTACACTGGTAGATATAAAATTAAAGTACATGGGGGGAAGGGAGCCGCATACTATAATTTATCAAATTCCTACTTCCCTGAAAAATAATTAGATGCTGGGCAGCACACAGGCCCTGCTGCAGGGGCTACTGTCAGGGGGATAGCAGTGGTCAAAAATAGGCCACTGATTCTCATTTATTCCATCCATTTTTGCTCTTCTATTGTGTTTGGAGTATTAGTTTCCAACTGTCTAGAGACAAGGCAGAAAAACAATGGCAGGCTTTATTAAGAGCTAGAGATGTAATCCCCAAGCACGAGTGCAATTGCACAAGTAAGCTGGAGAGGGAAAAAAGGGAATTCTACTTAGGTCTGGCTTTCAGGAATTTCACCCTCTAAAGTCATTCAGTGTGATATAGTTACAGGCAGTACTAAATCTGCATCACTTTGACAAACTTTCATTGAAGCTGTTGAAGATTATTAATGGAAGCAGTATATGAAGTAGCTCTTCAATAGATGACTTACATCCCAGTTGTATGGCTTGGGGTTTTTTTTCCTTTTTCCTTTTCTTGCTCCTTTTCATGATGGTTGTGGGGATGTTAGCAGAACCCTTCACAGCCCAATTTGTAAATTTTAATACAAAGAACCGACTTCATCCAGTAGAAATTTACACTGCTCCATGCAAGCCAGACACAAGCTTATACCACATCAAGTCACCAGACACACGCCTCTTTAGCCCCTATGCAGCAGAACTGGACTACAATATACGATACATATTATTACCATAAAACATATGTGATTTGATGAGTTTCTGTCAGCCACTGCTCTTGCCAGACACGCTTCCTCCTCTACCTCTATCCCTGCTGCTTTCCTTTATCAAGATACCATCTTCAGCTCTGCATTGGAAGATCCCTGCACAACCCGAGTGCTTCACCCTCGGGAGGCCTGTGCTTGAGATACGCCAGATACTCCCGATGTCCCAGACAGCAGCTGTTTTACCACTTGGTAGTAAACTATTCTGGAAGGGCCCTTAAGGAGAAAGAGCTTGGAACAACTCTCCCATGTAGTTGTCTCTTAAAAGATTGCAGTCATGACTCCTCTGGTGGGTTAAGTTCATTCCACATTGTGTTTTTCACAACATACACAACAGCAATTCAGGTGCTTAGTACTGTTTTTCCTACCCACTGTGTGTGCAAAGGAAGACGGCGTGGGGAAGGGGGAGTGAAGCTACTCCTGGGACTCTCAGCTAAATTCCATGTACAGGCAGTCCAAAGGACAGCAGTGTAAATCCTGCTGGAGACCAGACAGTGTTTGCAGAAATCCACTACCCCGAATCCACTCTGGGACATGGAGGTTTTGTGGCTGCTGTTTCACAGATTGAATTAAAAGCCGCAGTGGACTCTGCTCTTACCCTGGCTCTGGATTACTGCATGAGACTGCAAATGTCCTTTGCCAACATACAGTGGATAACTATAATTTTATGTAAGTTATGTGAATTTACAGTTCACCCCCAGAACATTGTTTAAGAAGGTCTTGGAAGTGTAATTTCATACTAGTATCTGCAATTGTGAGCCACGGTCTCAGGCAGTAAGATAATTTCCTGGTATCTAGGCAATAGAGTTTATGTATAGAACTGCTTCCTGCAGCGTCAAGGACGACTTCTTCTGATAGTTGTCTTTCTAATTTCTACATCATGCTTGTGAAACAAGGAATTTGTTCATAAATTAGGAATCTGTGGTTGTAACATGAGATAATACAGAGATGTGTCAACTTAAGCATTTTTTATATTTCTGGAAATTGAAAACTAATTGCTTATCAGAAACGTTCATCAGCAAGTTCCTAAGTAAATATTAAAGTTTTACATTAAAGAAACTTGCTGCTTCACTGACTCTCGATTGTAAAGTAGCTGGGAGGGATGGACTCCCCCTTCATATGCTGTCAAGTTAGAGAATTGTAAAATTAAGGTGCTTTTTTTAGCACAATTCCATAAGACATGCATGTCCAGATGCAGTTTTAACTTCTCATTTACATTTGCAATTCAATGTGTGTAGGAGCCTCCAAAAATGAAGTCTTCCATGAGAATTAACTTAGAGTAATATAAAGTAATAAAAATCGATTGCGGCACCTTCTCGCTTGTCTTCTGAAAATTTATAAATAAATAACTGCTATAATGGGTATCAGTGTCTTCTAAATGATTTCCTTTTCCCCCCTTTACATTTCGTTACAACAATCGGTTTCACAATGACTCATTGCCTTCGTTAGGAGCGGGAAGACATCCCTCATTATTCATTACTAAAGGAAGGACTTTGCTACTGCAAAGAACAGCCATGGCATTCTAATTCAGCTACCTTTCAAGAGAAAGGAGTCAATGTCATTCTTCCCCAAACTTTGCCAAAAGAGACAAGAAATAATGCTGTTTAATTGTCTCCATTTATAAATAGGCCATTCACAATGAGAGAATTGTATTTTTAATGCTGCAGTCAGGAGGAAAAGATACACATTTTTCTACATTTGTATCTGAATTTCATTTCTGGAAGCTCACGCTGAGACTCTCAAAACTACAAATGATCATATATATGTATGTATAAATATGAAATGCATTTATTTGTTTACAATTTATTGTAGGACTTGTTAATTACAGAGTACTGTAGATGTATTACATAAATGCACACACAAAGCATTTGCTGTTTAAGTAATCCAAGGATATGTTTGATTTCAAAGGGAGTAGGGAAGACTGTATTAAAATAATTGTTTTTCTTGATTTTACTAATAGAAATGTTCCTTGTCTCCTTTTGCATTCCTTTTTTTCAGATTTATTTACTTAGATATTAAGGGATTGAGCTTGTATTATGTTTTTACTGTATTTAATGTGTTTTTTATTAAGCTCTACAGCATGGACCATGCCTCTTTATAAATAAAGCTATGATCATGTATTACTAGAAACCCCATTTCAAACTGTACTTTTGCCAGGCTTGGTTAAGATTTTCTAGGAAGGGACATTATAATTGTCTGATTAATCTTCAGAAAAGGGAAATTTTGGCTCTGCAGTATTTCTTACTGTATTAACTTCAGAGATTTATAAAACCAACTTGAAACTGCACTGTAAGTGTGTTTATAATGACTTTTAGCTGATTTAATAATCCTCAAAGTTTGGTGACTGTACAGATCACAGCTTCACAAATACAGTCCATTACTGTAGCATCCAGATGAAGTTATCAGAGGTGGAGGAAATTACTTGGGATTGTATTTCTCCGTAGCGATGCACTAATCCAACCTCTGGCTGAGGCTGGGGCTCTCAGAGCCCTTGTCTGCATTTATCCCATTATGCAGTGGGGACATGTGCATGGATGATAAAGAACATCTTCATGTTCAAAGTCTAGCTAGGGCATGTGTATACCATCAGATCTTGGTGGTGCAGTTGTAAGGCTCCCACTGTGGTAATGTTGTTAGGAAAATTTTCAAGCCAGTCTGTGATTCATTTTTTCTGTTGTTATCAGTATCTACAGCGTGCTACTGCTAATGCCACTCCCTGCAGCTGGCAGTGCTTAATGTCTCTCTTACTTCATGATCCTGCAAACCTTTTTCAATCCAAGGAGCCCTTGATCATGCAAATAGCTCTGCTAATTGCAGGTATTGGTACTGTCTTATCCCAGTGGAGTAAGAGCCTCTCGGACAAGTAATGGTGTGCAGGACCAAATCCTTAGATTACATTTATCTGTGACAAGCCATGGCACAAGGTTGTTTTTAAAAGTTACCAGTTAAAATAAAACCAGTTGAAACAATGCCAAAAGCCTCATGTTAAGCTTTCTGGCTGTGTGCTTCTTTCAGTGTTTCCAAGCTCTACTTTTCATAATAATAAATATCAAACAACAACCCTGGGAATCACTGGGAGCTGGATTGGCAGGTCTCAGTCTCCATTTAACATGGAAATGATCAGCCTGTGCCCACATATGGCCGCTTGCTAGATCAGAACTCGGTTCATTAACACAGAACTCGGGGAGCTCTGGGTGGATGTGGAGTATGTGCATAATAACCCAGAGCACAGTGCTTTAAGCCAGAAAGTGAACTATACACAGCATAGAACTGAATTTACATATGTTCAAGAATCCAAATACTGGACATGTTTTTGCAGAACCCTGATTTTTCTTTTTTTGGTCTTCCAATTCACAACAGTTAAGTATTCAGGCTTTAATCAACTGCGTATTTCCAGACCAGTTATTTGAGATATTTTGTGACTTTAAAGCAATTCCTGACCTTCATGTCTCAGATGACATGCAGAGTTTCTTTAATGGTGCTGAGGACTGAAGAGGAGCCCACTAACACCTACAGAACTCACCTCTTTGGCATTTTCTTAATTTTCACTTTATTAAGCAGATAAAAGGATAGCTAATTCCTTTCCAGGCTCCCTTGTTTGCTCTGTGATGTACCGTGAGGTATCAGTCCAGCCAAACATTTCTTTGATCAATGAGCAGAGTAAGCTGTGTGAAACCTAACGTGTGCCTTTACGTCTTTAGGCATCCACTGTGACAATATATGCACCCAGGGCCGCTGGGGACCAAACTGCTCCATCTCCTGTAACTGCGAGAACGGGGGATCCTGCTCCCCAGAGGATGGCACCTGTGACTGTGCACCAGGATACAGAGGACCCTTGTGCCAGAGAAGTAAGATTTTCCATAGATGTGGTGGCAAAAGCAAAGCAGGTAGAAATGCTCATTTATGACACCAGACAGACAGAGCCACAGGTTTCTGAGCTGCTTTAGCTCATGACTTCTTAAGGGCAAGAGCTAGCCTAAAAAATGCTTCTTGATCAAGAATTCAAGACTCTGCTGCATTGGGTGGTGCCTTGTGTTTCTTCCACAGCACCCAGAGGTCACAGGTGACCTGAAAGAAGGAGCAACAACTTTACATACCAAACTTGGCAGGATCTGAGCAAAACCAGATTTACAGTTAAGTGCTGGTAAACTATAGGATACCTATTAAACAGTCAGCTACGACCCATCACATAATGACAAGTGGATGAGCGTTGGCTATCAAAATAACAAGACAATGTTTTCTTATATGCCAGAAAAAGAAACACAGCAGCCTGAAATAGCTCCTGACTGATGCTCTGCTGCTACATATTAAAATATGCCAAGGAGATAAAAATCCTCTCATTTGCTGTATCTGGGAAGCTGCATTTGCCCCTTAGGGACCCTTATTCACTGATCCAAACTACACACAACCTTCTTCCTGTGTAAACAAGAAATGGATTTGTCTTTCTTTTCTGCAGAGGCTCTTGTTCTTCCTGTAAGACATTCTGCATGCCCAGTTCATATATCCCCTTTGATTTCACTGGTTACACTTGACACTAGAACACACTCATCTCTAAAAATAATTTGTAGCTGACAATTTTTATTTAAAGCCATTATAACAATGACCTCTAGCACTGCTGTAGTTAATGGCCTATAAGCATTTCCATTATAAACCCCAATTTCCAGGTGCTTCAGCATATCTATATAGCTGTAAAACCGCTCTCCAAGGCTAAAATGTGGTGCTCAGAGCTTCAGGAAATTGGGGAAGAAATTGTTTTACAAATTTGAAACCCTAAGAGTGCGAAACTTCCAGAAGTTAATCGTTTCTGACCTTTCTGAGATTAAAAAAACAGCTTAGTTTTATCAGCTGATGGCTTGTAGGCTAAAAGAGGCAAAACATGTCCCCAGCTTGCAACTCCAGTAATCAGGCTGCTCCCCGAGGACATTTGCTGAGGACCTAATGGGGAGAAATTTTCCTTCCCCACTGGGGTGACAGCAGAGGGGTTCTGTGGATGTTTCTGCTATTGCCTTGTGTCACTGAAATGCCTCTCTTGAATATACGGCCAGGGAATTCAGCTTGCTCCCACTTCTTCTGCGAGATTTCAGGCTCAAAACTAACTTGTGAAGAGGATGCCTCTGTAGGTGAAGGTAGCTTTAGCCTGCTAAGTTTGCTCTCAGAATCATTCCCATTTTTCTCTTGAAAATTCATTTAGAAACAGAATTTAGCCTGTAAAGGGCAGTACTGAGGATGATACTCAGCCAGCTTGTTCTGTCTGTGTAATCAGGATTACATGAGACACTGGGATAGTTTACTGCTCTTAGGCCTGCAGAAATGTCTCCAGGAGTGATCCAGGTTGTTTTATAGCTAGTGCATCATCAACAAACCTGTCAGCTAAGTTCCAGCTGGAAATCTGCAATAGTGTAAGAACCTGACACCCTCTGTGAACATATGGACCAAGAGAAAAATTCTCATTCGGTGAAAAAATAGAACGGACATGATATAGTAACCACTGAGCCAGAACTATATAACAGAGAATCACAGGAGTAAAAATAAAAACATATAAAGTCATTTTTACAGTTACTTACTGCAATTTAACATTTCTTTGTGCTTATCTATCACAGTGAATGTTTGGACAGTGGATGGTTTTTCATTCTACATGTGCTTAGAAGCGACAATACGCATTTATAAGAGATACTGAGCCATAATCTTGGCACTATACCTTATGTACAAATTCTATAATAATTTCAATCCAGGTTTTAAGCAAATTAAGCACACAGTTCATGACAAGTTTACTCAGCTATCTGGTGTGATTACTGATGCAAATTAGGTGGTTTTGTATGCTGTTACCGTAATTACCATTTTTAGATTCTGTTCATCACTGATGGATGCTGCTCCTGCAATGGCATGTATAAACTGACTGTCCCAATTGAACACAGGTATTGCACCTAGTATGTTTAGAAATCAGCTTTTGGCATAGCTGTTTAGACATAAAATATTGAGAGTTTCCTAATACACCTTCTCTGATTTCTTAGCCTAATTTCCAAAGGAAATGGCATTATGAGTTTCTGTTGTCTGTACATGTGTATGAGTGTTTCTCTTCCTACCTATCCTAAAACCTTTGGAATATGTATTATTAATCATATCTGCTAGTGGGCTGTGAGGTCTTGAACATCTTAAACTCCCATGTTTTTTAAAAGAGTTTAGCTGGAGCAGACTAGAGAGACTCAAATGAGTGTCATGAGAGAGAGAGGCTGCTGAGAGAGCTCCGCTGTATTATTAAATAGCCAAGGACTTACATGAGGTAGGATGATGTTTGAACCACAGGAGCAGTTTTACTCAGAGCTCGCACTTTATTAGACATGGAATAATCCAACAGGCTTCACAATTTCAGCTGTTCACAAAATTGTGTTTTTATAAGTTAAGAATTATTGGTTTGGGATTAAGACAGAGAGAGAATTCTCAAGCTCTCAGCAATGAGAAGTGTTCTGAAAACCTGTGACGGCTTATTTTATTTTGTCTTCAGTTTGTCCCCCTGGCTTTTATGGACACCACTGCAGTCAGCCATGCCCTCAGTGTGTGCACAGCAGCGGGCCTTGTCACCATGTGTCAGGACACTGCGATTGCTTGCCTGGATTCTTTGGCACTCTCTGCAACCAAGGTACTGAGCCCAAGACCCCCAAGTGCCACCTCCTTTCCTAAGTTTCTGTGTCTGTGACTTTGCAGCAAGACCGATCACAAAGTTCCTGCCTTTTTGACTTGTTTCAGCAGTTTAGATCACACGAAATTCTTTACTTCAGAGGGAAAATGCAAATAGGTATTTAGTCACCCTTTTGTAAATATGATGTGCTCCTGCTTTCGTAAATAAAACACGTCTGCTGCTCTGTATTGAAATGAGTATGGAATGAGACACCTGCTGTAAATACATCAACCATCCAATGGTTTCATTTTTTCATTTTCCTTTCTGCTAAGCCTATCATTGCTAAATGTCTATACATCAACCATCCAATGGTTTCATTTTTTCATTTTCCTTTCTGCTAAGCCTATCATTGCTATCAGCAGGAGGTATAGACACAAGTTAAGGTAAAGGCCAGCTCAGGTGCACAAGCCCAAACACCCAGTTAATGCGTGGAACCTTATTTACACTGTCTAGGACCTGACTGGGAATAGCTAAAATCGTGTGTACCCAAACACAAGTGCAGGAGACAGAAAAATTTGCAATGAGGCAGGAAAAATGAGTTAATTTTCCCAGGTGAAGAGTATCTTCAACTTCCCCTAATGTCCGTCACCTTTCTGTATCTTTGAAAGTTAGCCCACTTTTAACCATATATTTCATTTTCGGTTTTATCCTAAAAATGCCCACAAAATCATTATGGTATTCTGCAGAGTCTCAGTTATTGCATACTGCTGTGGGTATTTTCTACATACAAGTTTAGAAGAGATTATTCGTAATGGCTACTGCCCTCGTGAAGTCACCATCCTTGTAAAAATTGAACTGACACTTCTTAATGACCTGCTTTTCAGTAAGTTAGAAATTGCAGACAGCACTTACGTAAAATCATTAAACATAGATTAAGTATAACCATGTTTTCTTTTTCCTGTGCTGTATAGTCAACTAAACATTATACCAATTAATTTATTAAAATGAACGTATTTCAGTGAATTTGTCCATTTTATGTGAAAAGTTAGCCAGATTTCAAAGTGTAAGCAGGGCTAATTATCCTCTTAAGAAAACTATTTTATTTTTGCTCAGATGTTCAGCACTTCTGGTTTTACTTTGAAATGTTGATCTATCCAGCAAATTAATTTTAAAATATTCATGTCCTAATTAAAATCAATTTGTGCTGCAGTTTGTCATAATGAGTTAGCATGTAACTTTATTTTGTAGAAAGAAAAGTGCTAATTAATGTTTTCCATTAGAAAAACGTGAAACGAAGATTTCACTTTTGAATTTTCATCTCCTTGTGCCGTCTCTTTTCTGGCAGTGGGAACATTCTTCCGTCAGCAGCACGTGCATGTGAGGAGCTGTGTAACCTCCAAAATTGCACAGGTTGACATGGTTGTGCTAAGGATTCTAAGCAGCAAACAACTAAGTAGCTATTTTATGAATATCTTTCACAATCATGTAGCATGATGGATTGGTAATAACTTGTTATCACTGCTAGAACACACCTGACATCTCACAAGGACATTTGGAGTCCCACTTCAGAGCTTTTATAGCTAATTAACACCACTATCTGCATTGTACAATCAGATTGCTCCTGAAGAAAGTGGTATTAGTCCTTACTTTACTGTTTTGTTTAAAAATGTTTGAGACATTTGAAAAAGTGGTTGTATTTGGATCTCACACCTTTACAAGAGAGTCGCTGTGTCAATCCACAACCAAGTTACTTAAATTAATGAGAACAACCATTTTGGCAGGATCGGTTTTGTAATCCTTCTGTGTTGACATTCTGGAGGTCATCATACTATTTCATTGAGACACGAGGTGCTCAGGCGGTAGAAACCCCTCTGCTAGCTCTCACTGTGTGGAATCAAAGCATTTCTTTTATAAAGTATGACCTGTTGCCTTTGTCAGCATCGGTGTTTGGATCACAAATCTTTTCCTGATTCATTAGTATTCCATGTTGCAGTGCAAATCAGTTCCTATTTTAAGTGAGTCTTTTGAGAACTATTTTTTTGTACATATAAAAAATCCAGCCTTCATTTAAGTGGTGTTATTTATCTCCATCTTAAAGATGCAATAAAAATATTGCATTGAACTGCTGTATATAGAGCATTGGAACTGAATAATGGTGTAGCATGTATGAGAACCTAGACTGACAGATCATTTTAGTTTTTGCTCTTTCTGTGATATGAGGGCTTTTGTTTCCTTCTCTCTCTTTCTCTTTGTGTCTATGTATTGTTCTTTTCATTGTGTCTGTATATTGTGTTTAGTTTTATCTCTTTTCAGTTAGAGAACTATTCTGTTTAGCACATAATTTGAAAGCCAAGACCAACTTTATCCACTCCTACAGATAAGTCCGTAATATATAGAAGTGCATGCAGGAAACAATAGTATGCACATTCTTAGGTTTCTGCCATAGTAAGAGTAGAGGATGGCATATTGTATAAAAGCAAATGAATCACAGCTCAGGATTTCAATCTGTGGCTGATTCACAGTCAGGATAGATTGAGGTCACCTGCAGAGACTACATATCAGAAAGTGAGAGTGGCTGAAGTGGTAAAACAGTTGCATAATTCAGGGAAGTGCCTTAATCACTTTTTTGCCATCACTATTATTTTCCAGGATACAAGTCCAGTTCCATTTGTTACATTCTTTGCAAAGATGGACTGTATGTTTTATCTTGTTTTGAAAATACATCTGTTTTTTTCAGGGAACACAGCCAATAAGAGCACAGAAATTAAACATTTCATTCATTACTGAGCAGAGCTTTCCATCAACTTTAATGTTAAAGATTTCCAATAATTTGGTGGGAGGTTGAAGATCTACGTGTCTATTAGTTTTATGTCACTGTGCTTAGGATGTTATAAGATGGCTCTGAAAAACATTTACAGTTTCTTTTCTTCCAACTTCAGGAGTAAGCTAGGTGGACATACAGGAATAGACGCTGATATTGTTAGGATGCAGCACATCTGTTTAACCACTCTCAGTCAAACATATATATAATCCTTGGAAACCACATTTGCAACCTAATTGAACACTTACTACAGCAGGGGGTGCTGGAGGGGAATAGGTGAACAGATGCCAAAAGACAAGCATGACATTTCAGCAATTGGATATGTGCTTTATTTGTAGGAGTAATCTTCTGCCAGAATTATATGGTAAAAATACTTATGGAAGTGGCAGTCTTGCTCCTGGTTTACTCTCCGCTTGCATGATTTGAATCTGTGAGGTGCTGGGAGCCTGCCTCCCACCAGCATTGCTGAAAGTTGATCTTCAGCAAAGCCTGGTGTATTTAGTAGCAAAAGCACCTTCCTCCCTCACCACTATTTGATCCAGAAGGAATCAGGACAGTGATAAGGTAGGTACTCTAGTGTACCCAATATTGCAGTGCCGCATGGCGCATGATGCATTTTGTGGTGCTAGTGGGATAGCAGGGGAAAGGACTACAGCTCCTTCAGCCTCTTCTTGCAAGCTTACCTGCCATCAGCCATTTCATGGTCACTGGCCTCCTAGTACAATACCTGTGGCTAGTATGTCAGACCGTCATACCAGGTGATAAGGTTCGCGGCTTTTGGTCCATTATTACTGTCATTATCAGTTGTACAATACAAGGGAGTTAGGTTCTAGTGACAGACCTGAAAGTAAGAGTCCCCATTGCTCTTCATCTTCTTGAGACTTCTTCACTAGGCTGATACTTAGCCTAAAATGTTCCTTTCCTACTTTTGTTGTTCTCATTGTTGAGGTTGTAATCCTCTGAGCCAGCGCAGAACCCTATTTCGGGGTTTGCACCAAGGGACCCCCTTGGCCAAGTCCCCAGATCAATCCCATCCAGCCACTTACTTCCTCATATTCATTATGAAGAGCCTTCAGTAAACTGCCTTATATTTTCACAGTCTGTCCCAGTGGAAAATACGGGAAGAACTGTGCCGAGGTCTGTCAGTGCACCGAGAACGGGACGTGCAATCCTATTGATGGATCGTGTCAGTGTTTTCCAGGCTGGATAGGGATGGACTGCTCTCAGAGTAAGCAAAATGTTATTTTTCCACCTCCACTTTAAAATAACATATTTTCATGTTTAGTGTTTTCTGAAAGTTAAAGACAGATTCTGGGGAAATCCCTGAAGTATTACAGCAGCCAGTGCCTTACTCTCTTTATAGCTTATTTCTTTTAATTAATCTAAGTTAGCTTTGGCTTAAATTAATTTCTGCATTTGGAATTTGCAGAAGCTGTTACTAGCTTCTATTACAGGAAAGGGAGGTCACAAGCTCTTATCAGAAAAGAAAGCTCCATGCTCCCTTTTAATATCTAGCTGGATTCCCTTTTATTTATTTTTTGAAATCATTTTCTTTCAGCTATTACTTTAGAAATTATTAACCAGTAAATGTTTTCATGTACCAAGCCCCCAGAATTGAGAAATTAGGCAGCTGAAATATTTCTATTAAATGTAATTTAATTGTAAAAGTCAATGTGGGCTTGGAGGGATGGAGGATTTCTTCTTGAAAATTGCCCAGGTAGAAGATTGGCATTTGCTGATCCCAAAGTGTCATTTCCTGAGAGCATCCCTTAATTGAAGATAGATCACAGAAGGAAGCAATATCCTATCATTCAGAAATGTTACTTCATATTCAGGATACAACTAGCATATTAGACAGCATTCCAGAGTAAAATATATTAAACTTCAAGTGATAAAGTAAGAATCGGATAAAAACAGACGGCTGTAATTTTGCTTTTATTGTACATCTTCCACAGGCGGAATATTGCTGTCACTCAAAAATAGAAAAAAAAAAGAAAAAAAGACAGAAAGCTCCACAGATTCCTCATTATATTTAGCCATGTAATTGGGAAATGACTGTTAGTTTCTGTTAACCTTGAAAAAAGATGTTTTTTCTTACAGAGTGAGGCAGGCCAGTTCAGCAGCAACAATTTCCACTTTAGCAGGCAGAAGGACCTGGCGATAGGTACTTTGTATTTTGGATGAACAAAGTGGGAACCTGACTGTTTCCTCAGTTACCTTCTTGTAAAGAAAATGTAAATCTCCCAATGTGAACCTGGCCTCACACCAGGCTCCTGTCGGAACCTGGCCTCACATACCTGAGTCCGGGACTGAGCTATTTTGGTCAGACCTCCCTCCGCACCAGTTAACCTGGAATGACCGAGAGATGGAGCTGCAAAGGAAATAATTTTAGCTCCAACTCCAGAACCACTTCTGGAGACACTAACAGACCCTGCAGCTCTGGCTTACAAAGGCATTGTAAAAGTATTTCTGGTTGCTTATAGCACGAATACTTTAGGCCAAATCCTGTTCAGCTTTACATTGTGTGAGTTCCGTGACCTTTTGTTTGATTTACGCCATGGCAGATTTTTTTGCTATTCATTCTGGCTTTAGAGATGTCTGTCATATGCCAGAAACTTGCATTTCTTGTCAGAACTGGAGCCAATGGCATACATGGAAATAGGCACGGTTTTTATACTTTCAGGTTTCCTGGGAACCATGCCTTATTAATTCATGTCTTTAATAGGAAGCAATGGAAAGTGCTTTTTAAAGCAAAAATATAGTTGTTATATTGAAGGGTTATCATCATTTTGGATCTTTTAGTCTGGCACTAATAACGGTAACTTACTGCATTCATTTTTGGAGGGAGGCTTAAAATAACTTTTGAAAAAGTGTTAATATTGTACTTGTTGAAATATATAATAGACCTGGAGATTTTAATTTAATATTAGCCCCCTCAACAAAAGCAATCTGATTTTGTGGATGGGAATTCATACTGTAGGAAGTTTTCTTTACATTTTTACCTAATTTGAGTAGCACTCTATGCTTCAAATGAATGTGGTAATTTTAGTAGTTGATTGCATAGCAAAAGTAAACCATGAATAGCTGTGCTTTATTATGCAAGAATTCCAGAATATCAAAAAGAAAATTAAATTACCTCCATATCTTAAAACCCTGTCTAAATTGTCTTCACAGATAATGCCAGTAAGGCAGGGAGAGTGGCTAGAGCACTTAGAATAATGTAGTGTCGAGGGCCGCTCTTTCAGTGGTTCTCAGTGCATATATGCAGCAAAGACCTGATCCTGCCACCTGACCTACACGGGGAAGAAATCTCTTGTGCCAGGGCTTGACAGCATGGGTGAGGTTGCAGGCTGGCACCTGGGTTTGCAAAGCACTTGTTGGCTAGGAAGGACCGGTCATTGTCAGGGAGTTGCTGCAGCGATGCCAAACTCTGCAATGCGAAGTTCTGCCTTTTCTGGTGTCTCACAGGTTCTCCCTTTATTGTTGTTCCTCCGCAGCACTAACACAGTATCATTGGGTTTTTTTTGTCAGCTGACAAATCTTTTTTATTTTCATAGCTTGTCCCACTGGTTTTTGGGGCCCTGATTGCTTTCATTCATGCAACTGCCACAACGGAGCAATGTGCAGCCCTTACGATGGAGAATGTAGATGTACTCATGGTTGGACGGGGCTCTACTGCACTCAGCGTAAGCCTTTCAGAGACACTGTTGTGCCAGGGAATCTGTCAAAGTATGTGCTGCTACCTCGTGTCTCTTCCAAGTATTGCAGTCTTCCCTGTTAAACCACCTGCTTCTTGTGATAACTTCACATCACTCCAAAGAAAAGAGTCCTGAAGCTTTTTAAGGTTTTTTATGCCTTTGGCACTCGATAAGGGAGGGACCAATCATTTAGATTGTTGATTCATTGTCAGAATTTGCACAGTCTATGTCCCTGCTTTTAAAACCCCAGTATATGTGGTCTGAGTAGGAAAGCATTTGAGATTTCTCATCCTACTAGTGCCAAATTATCAGCACTGTACGAAAGAGGAGATCAAATTCTGGTGAGCCTTTTAAGAAGGCTCTTTCACTTGCAAGTAATTGATTGATCTCTGGCCTTTTAGAGAGTTTCTGTTCAGCCACCTTCTTTCACTTCTTGAAAATGTAGTTTGTATAGATGGGTCAAGTTTTCGTTCTTCTGAAACACTTAAGAGGCAATTCTGTAAGATATGAGAAACACTACTTCAAGAAAATTGGCTGTGGTAGTGTGTCTGCATGTGGATGTTCAAATAAATCTTATTAAATATACAGATGCTGAAAATCCATAGATTTATAGGCTTACGTATTTTGTGCTGATAACACATCTGAGTTTGTGTTTCAGCTTATTTCTTAGTCTTTCCTTATTCTGATTCCTGAAAGGTTGCCCAGCTGCTTTTTATGGAAAAAACTGTGCCAATGTTTGTCAGTGTCAGAATGGAGCAGACTGTGACCACATCACTGGCCAGTGCACATGCAGGACTGGATTTACAGGCAAACAATGTGAGCAAAGTAAGTAGCAACATGACTTCATTTTTCTATTTCTCCGGGGGGCGGGGGGGGGGGGATGTTTCAGAATTCTTTGCAGAAATAGGCTTTTAAATGAGGTGTTGATGTCAGCAAGACAGTAACCCCAGGCACCTTATATAATCCATAGGGAGAAGAAGGCATCTCTGGAAAGCTGGACAGTCTGTTTAAGCGTAAAGAAATATAGTGAATCCTCTGCAAATTAGGCCTTTCCATTCCCAGCCTAAAGTTAGGTGAGATAAAAGCAAGTCACTGCACTCAGTGCTGACTGGATGTAGCCTGCCCGAACAACTTGTACCTAATTAAGAGAAAAACACAAGCTGCATCATGCCTTGCTAACATCATTGAGAGCAGCAGCATCAGGTTTCCCTAGGCACAAAGGAAGACAGAAGGGTTAAAAGAAAGAAGTCCTTTCTGCTCTCTGCCTTCCATGGAATATTGGGGCTTTCTTGCATAAGTTGTTCTGCTATAGATGTGAACCAAATAAAGATTCATCTTTACAGTGAAAACAGATCACGGAAAAAAATGTCGCTTCCCATTTTTGGAAGGATCTGTGTTTAACTTGATTAGTGAGCAAGTGTTTAACAATGAACTTCAATTACCTTGCAAGGGTACTGGCATATCTTACTGTAATTGTTGTCAATGTCTTGCTGGCATATTTAGTGCGCCGTGCCAAATGGCTTCTTTTAAGAACAGAGAATTAGAGTAGTAGAAATTGTATGTGCTGTAGTTGAATAATTACTTGTTTGTCCAGTATAGTAAATCAAAAGAAAATTCTCACACACTTACTTGGATTCTAAATGCAGGGTGAAATCCGTCTCACCTTACCAAGCATTAATTCCACAGGGTTTCATTACTTTTTTTGGCAGTAAGGTAATACATTTAGTTTTGCAAGTGAAAGCTTCTTAACTGTAGCTTACTACATGGTTCTTTATGAAAGTATTTGTACATATAACTAAATTCATGAACATCTTTTCTTTTTCACATACTTGCATTCAGCAAAGCATGTATCTCGGGACCAAATTCACGTGCTCATGTGGGGATTACATATGGAACCACTGTAACTCTGTAACTCTGTAAGTGGCCAGCTTACTGTGAATTTGTGTACACTGCAACCATAAATAAAATAGGAAACTAAAAAGTTCCGTAGTAGAACTGCATCATAGCAGATTTTATACAAGAAGCTGCATTTATAATTTGACCTCTGTACAAAGCCTGAGGCTTTCTTTTCTATCCAAACTACGAATGTATTTATTTATTTGTTTTTCTACTATTTAATCTAAAAGTATTTTTTCATTATTTTTTTTTGCTGAATAGGCAGTCACACCTCATTGCAGATGAAATGCTTAAATGCAGATATCGTTTCTGTGGTGCAGTCCAGAAATTTAGGCCTTACTCATTTTAAGTAGGCTACAGGTTAATATCAGAATAAGCATTAATTGTAATAATTTTATTTTCCCTTGTTTGGGGACCTGCAGATGAAAGAAAGAGATACAACTTTAATACAGACTGCAAATCATTATACAGATACTGGCTACTGTTCATTGCTTAATATTAAATTTTGGCTACTAAAAGTTACTTAGAGACTGACATTGGGAAGGTATCGTCATGCTATGCAAAACATTTGCAGTGACACTCGAGAAGTCACATCTTAAAACAAACAATATATATTCTAAAGAATCATAGCAAGTGTGCATGCATTCAATAATGCGTCTTCTCCATAGAAGTAAGTAGGCTGTGACAGAAGTTGTTTCTTTCAATTTATTATTGAATAGTGCCTCAAGAAGTATAGTAAGCTGCCTACAGATTTATTGTAATAGCCCATCATGGTAATTGTATGAATAAATTTCTCAGCTGGACATTCAGTCATTTTGTCTTCGATAGAAATACAAAGACAGGATAGAAATTCTTTCTATATTAGAAATCCTAATACAGAAGGAGAGCAAATCAAATCATTCAGATGCTCAATTCTGTAATTCCACCTACAATGTTATATTCATCTTCTAGCAGTAGTAGGGATAAGTATGAAAGCATGCAGTTGTTTGGTAAAAGTCTGTTGTGTTCATATAAAGGTACATTAAAACTTTTCTTTGCAACTACCACCATGAAAAAAATATATGCAGAGTTGGTGGAGAATGCTGTGCTCTTTCAAGATGTTGTCTACAGCTTCTGAGCTCATGCCCTGTTAAATTCTGTACACTTGTAATATATATCAAGCCTTTTAAAATCTCTGTACGTATTACTGGTTTCATCCTTGTGAAGAAGTCTTGTGTGACTTTTCCAGAAAGTTACAGCTTAATAAGTAATACCCCAAACTGTACATGAAATACATTTATCTTCTGCTTTAAAATAATAATAATGTAACACTAGGATGTTATCCTAGAGACACTGAAACCAGGGAGACTTTTCTACTGAATTTTCCATGGCAAGCCATGGAACCCATTTCACCCATTCCCAAAAAAAGTAGAATTCTTTCCAATCTTTTTCTTTGGCTTCCCAGAGTGCTCACCAGGAACGTTTGGTTATGGTTGCAAACAACTATGTGAATGCATGAATAATGCTACATGTGACCATGTCACAGGTACTTGCTACTGCAGTCCAGGCTTCAAAGGAATCCGATGTGATCAAGGTATAGTGAAATTCTATCCGTAAAATATCTCTCTTTCTCTCTCTCTTTCTCTCTCTCCCCCTACAATGATGTACTTGCTTTAAAAAAATAGTATTTCAAAAATGAAATGCACAATTCAATTTACAGTGTGTTATGAATTACTTTTAACAGCGGCTCTTATGATGGAAGAATTAAACCCCTATACTAAAATTAGCCCAGCTCTTGGATCAGAGAGGCACTCAGTGGGAGCAATCATTGGAATTATTATTCTCCTTCTAATTATTATGGTCTTGCTGGCACTGTTTGTGTGGTATCGACGGAAACAGAAGGAGAAGGGCCATGACATGCCAAGTGTATCTTATACTCCAGCCATGAGGATGACTAATACAGATTACTCACTTTCTGGTAAGGGTCTTTTTATGTTAATCAAGTATAGACTCATATTCCTGTATGTTGGGGAAATATAAGCTGCTGTGATGTATAATATGTGTTATTGAACCTCAAAAATAATGACACTTCTGTTTTTCCCCTGAATACCATGGTCTTTTAACACTTAACAGGGACAGGAAAGCAAATATAACTTAAAACTGATTTAAGCTGCTTTATATATGAAAGTTTACTTAACATGATACAGGATGTACCTAGCCAAGAAATATGCTGCATGGAATACATCAACTCCATTTTTTTAAAATCGGCTGCATTCCTATTGCAGTGCAGAGAAGTTTTCCCTTTGTGAAACCTTCAGAAGAAGACTTTTTTCGCATGAGGAATGGGATTGACTGGGTCAATCATAAGGTTTTATTTTTGTCTATGTTGCAGTTTGTGATTTGAGGCGTCCTATTCGTTGTCACTTTCTTCTGTGTGGAGACCAATCCCCGTCATCTAGACAGCTGGTGTGAATTTTCTTCACAGGAGCTGATGAAAGTAGGAAAGAGGAAGAGGAAGGCTCTTTACGATCAAAAAAAAGTCATACTGAGATCGCATGTCTTGCTTCTTTCTATCTTCTGCTACTGCTGTGGAGGACAGCTTATCTTGACAGATTGGCTAAACTTTGGAGGATGTGAAATCCTTTTCAACGCTGTCATTCTTCTTCATTCCTCTATGGCCAATATCAGATAGGATGCCAGACAGGAGATGGCTTCACCTCCTTCTTGTTTCCTCTGATCTGTCTCTAGTGGGCATCGCCTCGGGGTTTGCTGCCCTCTGACTGCACTTTGCTTCTTCACTTCCCTTTAAATGGCTGAAACTGTAAGTCCAAGTAAATACAAGGTCCTGAAACAGGCAGAGGTTGGCCTAGCAGCTCTGCTTTCCCAGTCGTGCATTGCCTTTTTCTTTCTGCTTTCTAGTCTAAAAGCACGAGGACCAGCCACTTGTTGCTGGCTCTGACTTGGCTTCTGTGCTGTCTCGGGGTGGCATGGCTGGAAGCTTCGTTCTGGACTTCCCTGCCCAGGATGCACGGGGAAGGAGCCTCTCCCATCGAGCCAACGACATTGGTGCCTGGCAACAGCGGGCACTTGATCAAGGAGCTTCTGCCATGGCACCATGACTTCAGTCCTCATACCAGAGTTTCCTGCAATGGCATATCACACATCAGGGGCTGTCTGCTGAACACCATGGCCTAAACTCATATTTAGACCACTCAGGCCTATACTAGAGCATTCCTTCTTCTGATAGGTACAAGATGGGGAAAAAAAATCAGCCTTGGACTTCCTCCCGTTGCCTCTTATTTTTTAATTTTAGCTTTGCAGGCTCTTGGTTAAGCTGCCCATTTGGGTAAGACATGTATGAAAGTGTTGCCAGAGAGGGCTCGTCTGATCCTTGGCTAGTTGCCAGCACAATTTGGCCTGAAGTTTGTCATTTCAACATCATGGGAAGAGCCAGACCATGAACATGCAAAAGACAACTGTGGCACATCTCAGCAGCAGCAAGGCTCCAAGTTCCGAGAGAGCACATTACAGCCGCTGGCATGGAAAAATGTTCTGAACTTTTCAGTGATCCATTTCTTTCATATTGGCACTTTATCCATTTATTTACAAAGCCTGCTACACCTCTTTCACTTCTGTGCTTTTCTAGGTCATGTATGCGTAACCCAGCATGCTTAAGAGGCACAACTTACAAATTTCAAAATAAGGAGAGGAATATTGCTGAGGTTGGGAGTTCCTGACTGGAGTAATTGAGCTTCTCCTTTCAGACAAGGGAACAAAAATCCTTTGGTTGTTTTTTCTCCATGTTTTTATCATGAATGGAGCCTTTCCGATCAACCTGATGGTATCCCAGTCCTACACTCTGCAAGCAGTCCAAAAAAAGGCTAATGCTGAGAAAGGATACTCTCATCTTTCAAAGTTAACATGGACAGATGACTTTCCTCCTCAGCCACAGAGAGGAAACCATTACGTTTGAAGATGTTGGTAGCCCAGGACTGTCCTTGCAGGTTATGTCTTTGTGGGCATTGCATCTCCCTATACAATGTTCTTCACATTCCTTTTGGGTGCAGCCACCTATCCCAGAGCTCCTGATGCCCCATGATACTTAAGCACTTGAGGAAAAAAAATATTTGGGGGATGGCTGAATTCCTGGATACATCATAAATATCTGAGGGATCACATCCTTCAGCCGCATTGAACCTGGGATCTCTTCTGGTCCTTGGGCAATGACAGTGAATTTAATTCTTGCCCTTGTGGCGTTGCTGCTGTGTCAGCTCAGTTTGTAAAAAACCTGAAGTACCAGATCCTTGCAATCCTGAACAGCACCAGGTCAGTGGTGTTGTATGGGCTTCTCTAGAAAGAAATTGGATAATGTTTCCTTCCTGTTCATCTCAGTCAGTGATGGGGATGCAGAGGCTGGGCCTTTTCTTTCTTCTTTCTTCTTTCTTTCTTTGTGCAGTCCTTGTAGCAATATAAATTTTATCACTCAGAAGCTGCAGCAGAGTGGGGTCAGCCACCTCTTTCTGGAGGTCACAAGAACAGTTTTCTTCCTGCCTCCCCCTTGAAAAACTCTGAGCTTGCAGAGGAAGACTAAGAAGTTAGAAATCACACTGCTCCATCTTCATCTCATTATAAATTGTCTGCAGGTATCAGCATTGTTTCAAGTTTTGGTCTTTGTTTTAGAAGGGCATTTACAAATTCCAGACAAGGGTTTCTGAAAGCTCCTTGCCAAATTCTGACTGTCCTCCAGTACATTCTCCTACTGAAACTTTCTACCCATCAGTAACCTTCCCAGCTTTGGCCTTACCAATGCTGTTTTCAGCCTTTCACTTCCATAAAGCAGGAAGACAGCTAAAGGTGCTGACGTGCATCTTCCCCAGCAGAAAATGGGGAGATGGATGCTGAGACAAGATCACAGATAAGAAATAGAGGCTCATAGCATGGCTTGATGGCAAGAACAATGCGTGTGTATATGAGTGCATGTGTGCATTTGTACGTTGCAGAGGACGCTGAAGGACAGTAGCAGTATTACATAGAGGTAACGGGGATTTCAACCTTCACCTGGAGTTTTGTATGTGGATTAAGGGCAGAATACTATGATGTACTTGTGCAATTAATATAATCCCACATAAACTCATGGACTTCAGCAGGGATTCCACCTGAACAATGACTGCAGTATCCAGCCCTGTATGGGTCATAACATTATGGCTAACCTGAATGATCACTGTTGTTATTTTGCTTATTTACTCTTGTTAGGGTAGTGTTGTTGTTGTTTCTGAATAGAGTCATATATGCAGATCCCTAGCTCCTGGAGGCAGTAATTTCTTCCAGCACATTAATTTATTTCTGGAGGATGTTTTTAGTCTTTACGTCTTCAGCTCTTCTGATGCTGATAATCCGTGCGTATGTGTGAGGGAGATTGTAAGGAAGGGGAATCCCCTGGGCAGCCCTTAGGCTCTTTTGCATTTGTGGATGAAGGATGTGGCAGCAAAACGTACACTCTGCCCAGCAGCCAGTGGGAAAGAAAACCACCCATGCTGGGAGAGCTTAACCACAGCACATGGATCTGCGAGCAGACTTTCCCAAATAAGCCTGAAATCAAAATGGTGCTCCCCAGCATGAGAACGGTACATTGCATCCAACAAAGGATTTTAAAGTGCAGGTTGTTTAATTCAAGCAGATGGAGACAGAAGGGAAAACTATGCGGTAGTGCTGGAGAGCAGCAGAGATTTCTTTTCAGGACTTTCACAAAGACTTGGTTATGGGCTGAAGTGATGCTTGAGGTCTTATCAAGGTCTTAAGGAACTTTCTGATATGAATGAATCCTATGCTGAGAGCCAAAACCTGAGCAAAACTTGATACAAATAGAGCGTCATGGATCCTGCAGCCTAGATAAGACATTTACAGAAATGATCCTGCAGATGATGTGCAGTAGGAGGTGGCAGAGTGAACCCTCCCGCTTGGAGTCTTCATCCACCCCACTGACACTCTGTTTGGGTTGTGAAGATCCACACAAAAAGAAGAAGAAAACAGTTCCATTTTGTAGCTTGAGATATCTGAGTTTGTATTTACTGCAGAGTGCTTACTTATTCCCTTTTTTCATGGTTGGCCTTGTGCCCAGTTTCCACGCTACACTGTCCTGCTGCCGCTGCAGAATGGGGACCAATGCTCTTTGTGTCCTCACAGCCCTGGCTTGGAGCAGAAGCTCGGTCTTTCAAGTGATAGAGTGTTCTGGACTTCATCCACACCTTATGGGTCTTCCACTGGAGCTCAGCCTCAGGCTTGAGGGGCTCATGGCAGGACTCTGCCCTCATGGATCTCTTCTCAGGACTGACCTCCCCATGATAACATTAACATAACCTTTGGGGTTTTTTGGTTTGTTTTAATTTAAATCATTCCCTTTCTTTTTTAGTCATTTAAGTCTTTGCTTACTGTTCAGAGCGGAGTAAAATTCTCATCCTTGGGTAGAGAGGGATTTTTGTGTTTGTTTCTTTTTTTTTAACTGGGATAGCATTAGATTTGAATTTGATCTATTTCCAGCCAGCAGTTATAAGAGCTTCATGAATAAATGTGTAGAAAATGGACTGTGCTATCAAGGTAAATCATCCTGGGTGGGTACTTAAGTATCGACCAAATGGAACTGTGTAGAAGGAGTAATTCTGAGTATATGGTGCTCCATGCAATGAAGGAGGAAAAGATTTTTGGTGATGCAGACTTGTGTACGAGCTCAGACTCATTAATTCAGCACTGTGCTTAGTAGGGCAGTCTGGTAGACTTTTCCTTCAGCACATTTCAGGTGCACGAAACAAGCTACGGCCAGATAAGCTGGGTGTGAACTTGTAATGTGTCAGCTGGCTCACAGTAACTGTCAGTATGTGCCCTCTTATCTCGCAGCAAAGGCAGTGGACTGTGCCTCTTTTCCTTCGAACTGGTCCTTCTTGCCCGCAGCTGAGCGAGGGTATGACAGATAAGGGAAGGGGGAAGGCAGAGCTGAGAGCTGGTGTGACTCAGCCATCAACACTCACCTACAAAGCAGAAGGACATGGATTCAAGTGTTATATTTAGCTGAGACCACAGGTTGTGGGAAGGGTGGATGAGCTCTGCTCCCCCGGTGACCTGCCAATCCCTCATTAGCAGGTTCAAGGCTATATGTGAGCAGCTGTGTTTGTGATGGGCATGCACTGATTGCGGTGTTTGGGTTCCAGCCCCAGTTCTCATTTGCAGACCCCCAGAGATATCCTGTTTCTTGTTAATTCTATAGCAAATATCACAGAGTTATAGTTAGGGGAGATGGCAAAGTCCTCGCAGCCTGGCTGCTGTGCTGGGCAGTGGCTAGCTGAAAGAAGTTTAATGCAAAGACTTTAGTTCTGGAATCATGCCCTGATCTGAGATACTTTGTTAGCAACAACCTCAGAAAATAGCTAGAACTAAAAAGCTCTGTACTTGCTACAAAATAGAGCTGACCTCAAAAATTGCTCTGCATGTTTCAGCAGAAAATAAATGCTCGGTCAGATATGCAAGTGCATGTGCAGTTTCCTCTCTCAGCTGTGTGCCACAGCACTTATGTAATAGACACCCTGCAGATAAAACCACTTATTTGAAACGGGATATTTTGCAGTAAATTAAGCTAAATCTAGATCTCCACAAGATGTCAGCAAAGCAAAGTGCATGTTCACAGGAATGGAAACGCAGAGGGCAAGGAGAGACAGCTGATGGTAACTGGGTACCCCCCTCCTGCAGACAGTGCCAGCCAGGTCCGTGTCCTTCCTCACCCATCTGCTGCCAACCTTCATTAAAGATCTCTGGTGATGGGGACAAGCAGCCACACCAGCACTTCATTACCCTTTCCATGTGAAGGTGTTTCCTACAACTAAGATTTCTGCCTGCAATTTAAGCCCATGGTTTATTAAAACTAACCCATTCATTTACTTCTTACAGGGCTTGGCTGTTTAAGTGATACTGCTTAAGTTTAAATTTTTCATCCTTTCTTCTGATGGTACTTTGAAATATTTATCAATTTCTTATTAAGATGGAACCAGACTGGGATTGATGTTTTCGTTAGAACTGCCAGTATAAATATATAAATATATATAATGCCTTTCTTAGTAAATTATTTTGTTTGGAAAATGTGTTCATAAGTTAAAGTGAGGAAATAGATAAAATGTCTCTAAGCGTAACAATGTGACTGCCCAAGTTTGCTTTTCAGTGCTGCAGCCTTCTTTTTTCTCTAAGCTTTTGCACAAGAAGTTATGTCAAATGTTTTGGACTCCTCAGTATGGTTATAGCACCTTGATTTCTAACATTAATTACCTTTTTTGTAATTAAAAAAAGTTTTAATTATATGTTTCGTAACTACAATGGTTATTCTCATCAGTAGCTCTTACATGTGTTTAAACTAAGGAAGAAACTGTGTTGCAGACCATGCATTTCCTGAGTTTTGCATTTCTTCCCTTACTTGCAAAGCAGCTGGACTGTCAGGAATTACTTTTTTAAGATCTTCAAAAAGATAACACTGGATTAATTAAATATTTTGCTTTTTTATCTTATACTTAATGCTAGTAGTCAAGACCTTCACACCATGATAATGCAGGATAGATTTTATCTGGAGACGTTTTATAACACCCAGTACTCTAGCAAAGTTTTCTAAACTAGATCGTCTCTAGCATGTTTTCAGTTTCATAAGAATCGTTATGGCTTCCAAAGTATTTTGTGATGACTTGTTTTCTTCCCAGATATATCTCAAGGTAGCGGCAGTGTACATTGTTTTTCCAATCCAAGCTACCACACTCTCTCATGTGGTGTGACTTCACGCTTCTTTACCAGTAATCTGGATGGAAACAGCTCCAGTAAGGTAGATATTATCCCACCTCACTGTAGCAATGTTCTTATCAGTTCAAGGAAATCAACGAAAGCAATGCCTGTTGGATCCTGTTATCTGCCAGCATTATTTTAAAATCCAGTGTGGCAGTTCCTGGCATTGTAGCTCTAACAGACACAGAAAAGTCTGCTTTCCCCTCTGTGTGTCTTCATAATCTCTGTGCGTGGTAACTGGAGTTTCAGCACATGCCTGTCTGGGTCAATAAGGCTTGGTGTCTTAGCAACTGTAAGGTATGTTTGCTTCTCAGAAAAGATAAATAACTAGATAATTGTAATTATCCATTAATATAACAAAAGTAAATCAATGAAGCATTAAGTCAGTAATCTAACTTTGCTGTTATCATTATTTCCCA